TAAAAGCATGGGCTGCCTGTAGTGAGTTTAAAAAAGTAGTGGCCTATGCATTTGGCAGTGCTATAATAGGCACTTTAATAAATAGTTAATAAACTCAAGCCTGTGATTTCAGAAGACGACTTAACTTAAATTTAACTGCTTCTTCCTCCATTTTACTGTTTGAACAGTTCTATTTTTAAAATTCTTCATAGGTTTTCTTTTCTATTTAGTTTTATTCTAGTTCTTAATATAATGTGCATTCTCCCTTGACCATAAATTTGTCACTACTTCTTTAAGATATTTTTCCCGCCGCCTTAGCATGCCTTTGTGGTGTGGTGGTCTGCACGCTAGGTGCGTATTTCAGAGGTCCGTGGTTCAATTCCCGGCGAAGTTGTTGCTCATTTTTCATCTTGCCTGCTTCCCAAAATACTTAATGTCTCTACAGTGGTGCCCGAACTAAAAAAGGGTGGTGGATGATTATGCTGCACACCCAGCATGTGGTGACTGGGTTCCCTAAAAACTCCAGTCGCCCTTTTTTAAAGGGGGAATTATATAATGGGTTTCTTACGCTTTATTAGCATGCCTTCGTGGTGTGGTGGTTCGAAGGTGTTGCTCATTTTTCATCTGTACTGCTCAGAAATAACCTAATGTCTCTACACTCCTTTCTAACTAGTTTACAATATTTTGGACATTGTTAAGCCATTTACATATGTGCAGATATTAATTATGTACAGATGGTCTCAAAATGTTGAAATTAATGTATAAAGAATATATTAAATTAATTTTCAATAAATAAAATATATAGAGCATTGTGTTGGTCTATTTATTTTATTACCAAAAACGATATACTCGTTTTAGTAGACATCCTCTAGAGCAGGAATGGACAAACTACGGCCCGCAGGAAGTTTCTATTCGGCCCGCGGATAGAATTTTAATTTGCCGGTCTAAGGAAAATTAAAAATATATATATTACATATCCATCTCCTTTTCTTCTTTGTTTAAATATCTTTTTTCTTTTCTTTTTTTTTTTTTTTTTTTTAAAGGACTGATGATCTTTTTACTTTCTCTATTTTTGTTCTACAAAACATAAAATCGACAGAAATAGCAAGCACAGACAGCTTTCAATCGGTTTCCAAGTTTCAAAAGCGGAAGTTCTTTATTAGTTAGAGCTGTAGATTGGCGCCAACAAGCGTTATTTCTTTCTCGGGGAGCAGACATATGGGAATCCAATTGGTGAATTGAGGTGAATTAGACCTCATATGGCAGACTGCGCATTTTAAGCATTTTTCTTTTGGCGCGAGTTCTAATATTATTGACTGTGTATGGAACGATAGCGGACATATAGCATGATTGTGAATAGTGGTAAAATTATTAAAAGTATAGCGTAGCTAGTGCTTGCTTTTGGGTTATTCGAAGATATTTCAACCCCAAAATGGGTACTAAAACGTAAAGTAGATTCAGAGTGCCGTGCTTTTAATGATAAATGGACTTAGAAATATTTTTTACAGGTGTAAAAGATAAACCAGTGTGACTCATCTGCAATGAAGCTGTAACAGTCTTGCCCGTCATTTCACATCTAATCATAAGAATTCCAATTACAAACACAGGCCGACAAAATGTTTTCAAGAAGCTAAACAGTATCCAAGAAGTAGCTACACATGCAAGCTACATTGTAACATACAATATTGCTAAAAATAATAAAGCTTTCAGTGATTGTGAGTTCGTTAAACAATGCATGCTCCAAGTTTGTGATGTTTTATGTCCAGACAAGAAAAATAATTTTGAAACTAAGCTTATCTCGAAAAACGGTATATTCGAAGACATCGGTAAAAATTTGACATCAGAATTAGAGTCAGAGATTGGATAGTTTAAATTTTTCTCCATAGCCATGGATGAAAGCACTGATATAAATGATACTGCTCAGTTAGTATTATTTATACTAACTGAGCAGTAATCTCATGAGGTGTTGATGAGAACTTTGAAATTACCGAGGAAGTGGCGCGTATGCGTTCTTTAAAAGGAACTAGAATGTGATGTGATATTTTTCATGAATTTCAGGAAGGGCTTTTAACTTTGAAAGTGCCTATAACAAACACACTGGTTATCATAAATTAAGGAAAAAATCACGATTACTAAAAAAGTTACGTGTAGATTTTAATGAAACTTACCCACAATATATTAGAAAGTCCTCCACGAAGGCATCCCTCCCCTTAGGCAGATAGCCCTAGTGTGCTTTGCCATAATTAAATAAACCAAACCAATACCCACAATATACAACACATAGTAAGGTATCAAATAACATAAAAAGAAATTACCAAACATATATGGTAGTATAGAAATTAGCACATGTATAAAATGAACAAATGGAAGGTGTCAGTTTGATATAGGAAAAGTATCTTCAATATGGAATATGATCGCCTCTAGAAGTTATACAGCGATGTGTGATGCTTTCAATTATGCGGTCTATCAGTTTCATAGGAAGCGAGAGCCATTGCTCTTGCAAAGCAGTTCTAAGCGTGATAATTGTCTGAGGGGACGGATTGAGAGCAGCTAGACGTCTCCCTAAAGCATCCCAAACGTGCTTGATAGGATTCATGTCTGGGGATCGAGCTGGCCACTCCATGCGCATAATTGTTTCCTGTTGAAGATAATCATCTACGATACGAGCCCTGTGTGGTCTTGCATTGTCGTCCTGTAACAGGAAAGCATCACCCATTGCCCCGGCATATGGGCGCACAGTAAACATCAAGGATATCATCTCTATAAATCTGAGCAATCACGGTTCTCCTTGGAAAGACATGGAAGTCTGTATGTCCACCCAAAGAGATGCTACCCCAAACACAGAGACTGCCCCTTCCGTATGCATCTCTTTCACGGATGATAACGGGTTCTAGGTTCTCTCCATATCAAATAACGCCTACTATCGCTTTCTAGACTAAATCTGGACTCATCCGTAAAGAAAACCGCCCTCCGTTGATCAGGCGGCCAGTGGACATGTTGTCCTGCTCACTGAAAACGGTCCCTCCTATGGCGTGACGTGAGCGGCACACAAATAGCTGGTCGTCTTGCATACAGACCACCTTCGTGAAGCCTTCTACACACAGTTGACGTTGACACGAACCTTCCGGTGGCTGCAGCAAGGAAGGATCTAAGAAGAGTCGGAGTAGCGGTTCTATTCCTGCGTGCACATAATGTCAAATATCGGTCATCGGCGCTCGTCATAGCATTTGGCCGTCCTTGGCTGAACCTTCTACATGCCGAATCTGTGGTTTGAAATTGCCTCCAAATTCTGTGAACCACAGAAAGACTCACATTTAGCCATCTGGCTACTTCTGTTGACTTTGTTTTGCCTCTAGTCTCCCAATGGCTCTCCATCGCAATTCTGCAGGCAAATGATGCCTGGAGGTCATTGTTACGAATTGGCTCTCTCAGATTTGTGTCACTGTCACAATGAAATATGTGGGCTTGCTCTCAAACATGGACTTTTATGCTCCTCGCAGATGACGTATTCTGAAAGCAACGCCACTAATTTGCATATCGCAGTTTTACTCAGCTACTCTTACTTAGCAACATATTCAAATTTTACACGGTTTGGCTTATTTTTTGGGGGAGTTATCGCTATTTGTGATTTTTCCTTAATTTATGATAACCAGTGTATATGCAGTATTACGACTGATAGAGCACCAAATATGACAGGAAAAAAATCTGGATTTCTTGGAAGCTTTATTTAAAACTATCCCAGGAACAATATTGTCGAGATTTTCTTCAGTCCGTATGATATGAATACTCTGATGTACTGTATTACACGAAAGTAAGGTGGTTTAGTGCAGGACGTGTTTTCGAGCGAGTTTGGCAGCTGAAAGAGGACATTGTGTTGTTCTTCCATGAGAAACGGTGTTCTGCGGAGTGCGAAATATTAGAAGACACAGAATGGCTTTCAGACTTTGCATTCTTCAGTCTTCACATATCTTCTTTGTCATATGAGCAACTTGAATGTCAAGATGCAAGGGAAAAATCAATTTATCGGCGATATCTGAGCCTATCTCAAAGCTTTTAAACTAAAACTTAATGTGTTTGCTGGACAACTAGCTAAGAGCGATTTGTCTCATTTCCCGAGGTTATATTCAATACCCTCAGTAAATGAAGAGAAGCTTCAGAATTATGAAGATGGCTTGAAAAAAACTGCATTTTGAGTTCGAACGCTGATTTCAAGATTTCAGTGCCATTCAAGCAGAATTGGATATTTTTACCATGCCTTTCATGTAAACTGTGAAGCAGTGAGGTCTGATTTGCAGCTTGAATTAATGGGAGTTGTAATATAATTATCATCTCAAGCAGTTGTTTTTAAATATGCCAAAGTTAGAGTTTTACAAATCATTATCGAAAGTAAGTTTCCCAAATTTAATATCTCACGCTCAGAAAATCAGTGCGCAAGTGTTTTCAACTATGAACCTTAGAAAGAATTATTTCAGAAGTAGACTGACAGATGAGCATTTAGCCTCGTTCCTTAGAATTAGTCTTTCTCACTTCGAACCTCAAGATAAAGAACTTTTAAGAATGAAATCGCAATTTCATTCATCTCATTAACATATTTAAATTGTAATACTTGTATATGGTTTTTAAAATCTTAGAAAAATTAGTCTTGGCCTGTCAAACTTTTTTTTTAGAAACCAGAATAGTATAATTTTAAAGTAATTCTCCTTAATTTTTTAAAATTTTAGAAAAAATTTATCTTGACCCGCCAAACATTCCCCCCCCCCCCCGATTTTTGGGCCGCAACCGAAAACGTTTGCTTATCCCTGTCCTAGAGTGTTTACTGTATTCCACTAAAGAAAGAAATAATTTGTGTTTTAGAATATTTAAAAAATATTACATCCTTTTTGGGGTTTGATTTTTTTTTTTTTTTGTTGCTATTTAGAAACCAGAATAGTATAATTTTAAAGTAATTCTCCTTAATTTAAATATTTCTGCTGAAATATTAGAGGAAAAAATGTCATTAATTCTTTTAAACATACTTCAGCTTTATCAATTTCTTCAAATATGGGATTTCTGTGCTTGGTGAAAGTCCTATAAACTGAAAAAATCTCGGCAATTTTTCCTTCTGCTTTTTCTAATAAATCTTCATCAACATGTTGTAGATCGTCTACCTGTAAAAATAATATTTAAATGAGTCTACTTCTGCATCTTTACTTTTGTTCAGATTGCTTTAGAAGTAGACATTTGGCTGCTGACTTCTAGCGAAACAAAACACAAATGAAAAGAGATATCTAAATGGTTGGGTCTTCCACTGAGGATATTACTCACTAACAGACATGTACAATATTTCGGCAAAACCTTTAAGTATAATACAGTTAATAGATTTGGTTGTTAGATGCGGTATTTATTATATCATAAAACTTCATATATTCATATAACTTTTTCATATTTTAATGAAGCAGCTTTAATGAAAATCATTACATTCTTAAATTTTTGTAGTATGTGTTAAAAATTTTACCAATACGTAAGATGAAAAATTCCTTGGAAAAAAAAGTTTTCTTTTTTTTTTTTTTTTTCCTTAATTTCTAAAATAAATCTCAAAAAATGTACAAAAATTTTTTCTAACTAAGAAATTCCTCCCTAGTAAGTTCCTCTTACTAAAAATTCTGATATCAGGGTACGAAGAGTACACATTTTTATAAAATTTTATTGCTGTGATAAGGTAAATAAAACATACAAAAATTTTAATTAAAAAGTTTTTATTTCTTTCGAACATAGGAAAGTCTTAAATTTCAATCAATTGACGGATATCTTGCCTTCTGATTACTGGTGTGCTGCGATGCGATGCAAATAAATCTATTCAAGTGAGCAGAAAAATAAAATTGTAGGTTTACATTTGATATAATCAATATAGCTAGCCTGCAAAGTGCTATGTTTGGCGTGCCGTCCACGATCTAAAGGGACTAGGGCAATTCCTTATCAGTTTAGGTATTATTAACATTTTGAAGTATATTGTTATCTAATATTCAAAAGCATTAAAAAGAATATCATTTTGACTCTTTTTGAACCACCGTCTTTCGGGTGTAGTCGGTTTTGCGCGATCTGGAGGAGCTCGGGTTGTGTCGGCTTTATAAGTTGGATCTATTCCCAAAGTTCCCAAATATAAACCGCTATCAAATCTGCTAACTACGTATCACTGCGTTGAAACAATTCTGGGATATTTGGTTGACTCGGTGAACACCTACGGGAAACGGAGCAATTTCCGTGGCTTCTTAAAATGTCTCGGGTACCAACCGCTACACACGGTCCAACGCAAATGTTTCTGTTAAAAAACTAGAGTTGGAGGAAATCTGTTTCTCGGAAAAACTTTTGTATAGCGTCGCTATATGCGATAACTCCATTAGATATGCTATAAATTACTGGCGATAATTTCTAAAATTTTAATTTTATTACTATTAGTATAAGCTCATTTAATTAAAATGTTAGTGCTACATTTTAGTTTGTCTTGATGAGAGCATTCTTATGTTACGTGAAAGAATTCGAAATAAAATAAATTGACGTAATAATTCTCTAAAGTTTGAATATACGAAGAAAACAATACGAAAATCTAGTCCCCGTCCTAGAGCTTATTGCGGAGCATGAAGCTTTATGATACAGGCTGATCAGCTATCAGATCACAACCATAAGGTCTTGATTGCTTGTCTACCGTGTGTTTTAGGGTAACACATTTTCAAAGAAATAAATTATTACAAAAGGTAGGTCTATCACATATGTTCTCATTTGTACAACAATGAAACATTATTTCTTATCATTCCAAAGTGGAATATTATACAGTTTCAAAATGATTAACGATATAAACTAAAGAATAGGCTTTTATGCTGGCCTTGTGTTCTTTTTAAGGCAGCAATATTTTTAATTAATTAATTATTTTCGTGACATCCAACAGATTAAAAAGTGTTAATTTATTACTGTATAGTCAGACTGATTTCCCTTCTTCCTAGTTTGATAAATTTACCAGAACATATTATGCGTTGTTGCACAAGTTAGTTTGCATTCAGAATACAATAAACTCTGTCATGAAGACTGCGTCTGAAAGTAGCCAGTATTTCTGAGAGTATAAATAAATATTACTACTGAATGTCACTCCTTTGGGATAATGCCGTTTACTATCCGTGGGCTGTCGTTTTAGAGAAGATTAAAATTCTATTTAATGCCTAGTCTCTCGATGAAAACCAATGCACGTCACTATATACTGATTGCATCACTAAATTATCTAATGACATACATCAAAACATAAATGTTAATGTACCCTATAATCTGCTGACTGCTAATCAATATTAGCTTCAGAAAATTTCTGGAATTATGGAAGTTATTGGCACTATGTTAAGGAAGTTCTTTCCAAAATCGGTGAGTTCTACCGAAACCGAAAACAGATTTATTTATTGAATTGATTATAGGTCATCATAAAAATTCTCTTCTTGAATGTTCTCAGTGGCTTTTAACCTTTTGGCATACAATGACACTGGGATTGATTATTAATTTCAAACCAGATTTTTAAAGCCTCTCAAACGTCACTTCAAAACGAACTTGACGATAAAGTACGCGTTTATACATTTGGATATTTCTTTATGTATACTCCCCCCCCCAAGTGCCAAGTTTTATTCCTACAGTTCTTGAATTTTACTTGTATTTCAAGGAGTTACGTTGTTCACGAAATTGATTCATATACTCTAACTACCAGCATTGCAAGAGACTGAGCAGTTGGACTTGATTCTGACTGATGTGCAAGTCTGGTAGAAAACTTAATGGTAGATATTAGAATAAAAAGTAGGAGCTGCAAAGTTTGTAAAGTAAGACGTTTTTCCAAGGTCGTTGAATGATGTAGGTGACACAAAACTGTTGCAACGAGGTATACACAGGGAAACCCTTTGAAAATTAAAAAGCAATTTCCTGTAAGTTAAAAGAGAAGACTTCAGGAAAATTTTTTAAAGTTATGCAGGTGGACCTTATATCACTAAATCATACTATCTAGACACAAGCTATTGATTTTTCCAAGTAAGAAATGGCAAGTTCAATAATATTCAGGATAATTCATTGGAAAATAAATCCTTTGCTCGCCAGATTGCTGACATTATTGAAATATAGAAATAAATCACAAGATATAGATTGTAAAATCTTAAAATGATGCTAACTGGACTAAGCATTTCCACAATCCATTCTATTTGTAATTTTAGAAAGCGTATTCGAATTTGAGTGGGTGAAAATCTCTGCGAATGTAGATGGTAGTACACGAATATCGTGCGTTGAGCAGGTTCATTTAAATGATGGTATGAAGTGTTTATAACTTTCACAGGATAATTTTTGATTTCACATGATGATATCAGTGTTTCTGGGCTGAAAGAAGACAAATAGCAAGCGTTGTCATGCTATCTGACGTATTAAAGTAGAACAGTCTGTCAAAGATGTCTCTCTTTTCTTCGGTGTTATCATTCGGTAATTTTTCAAATGTGGGAACAATTCCAAACAAATCAAACAGTTATTAGGAGACTCGTGCCCCGTCGACTAACGGTTGCCATCTCTACTAAAGATCGGTATGTAGCTATAGTAGCCAAGAGGAATCGACGAGGGACCTCCACATCTGTTACAGCCATCATTTGTAAGACAAGATCTGTCAGTATTGTGCGAAGGCTTTACATAGAGGGACTGCACGCTCGAGTAATACGAGTTTATATTTCACTAACCCCCAATCTAGAAGGAAAAGATTAAAGTGGTGTCATCAACATCTCAATTCGACTGTCTTAGATTGGAGCAACTTCCTGTTCACGGACCAGTCCAAAATGGCCCTGGAATCAGACGATAAGCATGTAAAGGTATGGAAAGAACGAGGCACATGGAATCAGGCCCTAAACATAATCAAACATGACGACTTCGGAGGTGGCAGCACTAATAGTATGGGCTGGAATTTGAATGAGATAGAGTACACGGGTGCATAACTTCAAAGACGCACTGTGACAGCTGTTCGGTTTCGGGATGAAGTCCTGCACTCCTCTGTGAGTACTCTTCAGCAATTGGTCCTGATTTCCTCCTTATGAATGATAATGTCTGTCCCCATCTAGCCAACATCGTTAACGGAGAATGGGCATTTCTTGTATGGAGTGGGCGCCGTATTCCCCAGACCTTAATCCCATTGAAAATGTTTAGAATGCCGTCGTTCGCTGCACGTTTATCTGCTTCAGCCAGTCTCATACAATTGGAACCTGCGTTGGTAGAGGAATGAACATTGCTTGCGCCTGCAGTGGTTGTTCATCTCACTGAAAGCGTAGGCAATCTGTGCAGTTAATGTTTCTTGGGCGATCACATCCTTTATTAATTTAAGCTTTGCTTTCTTGTTTTATGCTTTGAATATCAATTTGTTAATGAGGCCATCGTATATTTTATGAAAATTAAATGGTATTTTCATCTCTGTGTATAGTTCGTTCTTTGTTTTCTTTTATGCGTAAACACATTTGCTACCTTAATATATAGTTTGGTGTTAATCAAGGGTTTACTTTTCTCCTTCTGTTGATTTTACCATCGCGTGCTTAACTTTTAGAAGCTAGCGTTTTTAATAATACCAGAATATCGAAGAAAATAAGGAAAGGGCTGTAAAATATTAATTTAAATTTGAGGTTTTTGAAAGTCTAAAATTTTTTGTCAAGGACTTAAATATTTGTCATATTAGCTTCTTGTGCTACCAGCCGCCTAGTTATTAAAAAAAAAAAAGAATAGTATGTAGTGATGTTGTAGATATATTAGGTATTTTTTGGAAGCCGGAGAAATGAAAAATTAGAAATTGCCTTCGCCGGGAATCGAACCACCGACCTCTGGAATACCAGCCCAGCGTGCGAGAACCACTACACCACGAAGGCACGCTAGGAAAGTGGGAGAAATACCTTATAATTTCAATGATTTCAGCTAGCGTGATTTCACAACTAGAGATTCATAATAACAGAGACAAGGAACTTTACTTCTAACACCACAAGAATGGCAGCCGACCTTTTTGCACTTTGGTCAAAATTACCGTTCTGTGATAGTCCATATCTAAAATCCCCAGACTAAGAGCCGGGGTTGGTAGGCCAGACGGGCATTTAATTGGGTATTAAAATTCTCTTATAAATCACAATTTTGCTTA